ACCGTCCCAGGCCTTCTGCATCGCAAGAAGCCCAGAAGCCCTCTTCGAACATTCCGAAACTGTAGCCGTGAAACACAGTTGCAAATAGATACCTAGATTGGCTGATGTACACACAGACAAAAAGGTAGATAGAGCTGGTGCATTTATCATGCTTCGAATGCTTGCTGGTCCCTAAACCCTAAACCCTAAACCTAAACTCTCAAATGGGCAGCGGAGTGGCGCTGCTGCCTGGCATGTGGGGGTGGCACCTACCTTCGAAATAACCCGAACCCCTAAACCCAGGCCCTAAACTTAAAAACCCCAACCCCTAATTGAAAAAAAAACCTAACGCTCTGTGGAACCTTGAGAGGAATCTCCGAGGAGCCTAACCCTAAACGTATAAACCCTAAACCCCAAACCCTAAACCCCAAACCCCCAACCCCAAACCCTAAACCCCAAACCCTGAACCCTAAACCCTAAGCCCTAAGCCCCAAACAAAACCAGGGCTTCAGGTTTTCACCTTCTTGGCCTTCCGGCTTCTAGCTTGCGGAACGGGGGCTTTGAGGCTTTTAGGGTTTAGAGTCTAGAGTTTAGGGTTTAGGGCTTAAGGTCTAGAGTTTAGGGTTTAGGGTTTAGGGTTTAAGGTTTAGGGTTTAGGGTTTAGGGTTTAAGGTTTAGGGTTTCGGGTTTAGGGTTTAGGGGCAGACACCCTGCAGCCCAAATCCATGCGCCACATACCCGACATGCTTTCACAAATTTTCCAGTCTACCGAAACCCCAGCGAACCCAATACCCCTTAATTAAGGAATAGACCTTAACTTATAGAGGCCTCATTATTAAGTAAGGGGTATGAGGTTCTCTGGGACCCAACCCATGAACTTGAAGCACAAATGCTCTCCGCCCCCTTGTTTTTAGAGAACCCAATACCCCTCAATTAAGGAATATACGTTACCCTACGGGTCCAACGGGCCTAATAATCATGCACTTGGGTTACGGATAGTAGTTTTGTAGGCTAGTATTCAGAAGAGTATATGATTATTAGGTACTTGGACCCTTAGGGTTAAACTATAAGGAACTTCATATTATGATTTACGGTACATTCCTTAATTAAGGGTTATTGGGTTCTCTGGGCTTCTGGCCTCGAAGCGTCGTGTCCTGCGGACAAACTCAGCTTTCCATTGGCCCTAAACCAAAGGGCTCTTTGGTGATATCAGGTTTGTAGCTCCTTGAGTCTAGAATCTAGAACCCTAAGGGTCCATGTATTCATATAGCATATACATGGGCCCTAAAGTACCTATATAGGGACTACATTAAGGCCAATGTGTATACTATATGCGTACATGGACCCTTAGGGGAACACATCACGTTGAGATGCCGAGCGCTAACGATCTGAAGCCACCTTTCCCTAAGGGTCCATGTGCTCTTATAGTATATACACTGGCCTTAATGTAGTCCCTATATAGGTACTTTAGGGCCCATGTATATGCTATATGAATACATGGACCCTTAGGGTTTTCGAGGGCATGTAGTCGCGGAAGGCCTGCAGAAGCTACAGTATAGTTCTGATGCCATTCGGGCTTCTCAGTAACCACTAGGAGGTGCTGTTTGATGCAGGTAGTGCCGATGTGACGCTTGATGATACAGAGCTTTAACCAACAGAAACCTTGGCGTACTTCTGAACCCCTCCTAAAAGTTAAACTTTTAGCCTAGATATTATAGTTCATATAGAAACCCAAAAAGTTAAAGTCTAAAGAGCCAACCAGAAGAACGCTAAGAAACTACGTACTTCTCTGACATCCAGGGACCTGACGATGAAGCCCCTGTGCGATCACACACTCAACCCTAAACCGCAAACCTAAACCCTGAACCTTAAACCCTAAATCCTCAAGTAAGTAGATGCGCCAAGTACACCCTCGACTCTCTCCAAAATCTCAGAAGCTTTCCAACATTCAACCCCAAAACATCCCCCTAAACCCTAAACCCTGAACCCCGATCCCTAAGCATCCTTAAAAAAAGGGGGAGATGCCTGCCTGGAGATGGTGATTCGCTCTTCTTGCGGTGCTGACGCAAAACCTCCAGGTTACTCGGGCTTACCAGGACCCCCCCCAAGGGCCCTTTAACAGAGCCCTTATGGTCCTTAATAGTGGGAGTTTAAAGGTATATTAGAGGGTACTTGGGCGGTCTAGGTAAGGCTTTGAGTTTTGGGTTTAGGGTTTAGGATAGCAGCGACAGGTTCATGTGCGCATGTGCCTACCTGAACCCATCATCCGAAGCTGACAGTACGAGCCCAAAAGCCCAAAAAGACTTACAGAAGCCAGCCTAAACCAGCCCAAAGCCTAAACCCTCAACCCCTAGGCCTAATGGCGGAACGAGGGTTCAAGAAGGACCATACCTCACAAACCCTGCACGCTCCAAAAGAGCCCCCCAAGTAAGAAGCGCACTGGGATCAATTGAACTGGGGTTCCGGGCCCCGGGTTTAGGGTTTAAGGTTTAGGGTTTAGGGTTTAGGGTCCCCTGCCCCGGGTTTAGGCTCTAATTCGGTCTGAGGCCAATGATATTGGTCCCTGGCCAGCAGGTTCTCAAGTATTTGCAGTTCCGGGTACACGGTTTTTTGTTTTCTTTTTGAGGGCCTTTTTCCCACAGTACCATGTCCGCAGGGGAGCCCACGAGGGCAGGCAGGTTTGTGCCGTTAGCCCCCAACCGAAACACCTACCAGGGTTTAGGGTTTAGGGTTTAGGGTTTAGGGTTAAGGGTTAAGGGTTAAGGGTTTAGGGCTTGGGGTTTACATACATACATGCATGCCTGCATACATGCATACATCCATCCATGCATGCATGTATACATACACACATACATAATCACAATCACACACATACAAATACACATAAGCATACACATACTCATACACGTAGACATATACATATACATAACACTACGTGCATATTCATATACATATGCATATGCTTTTACATATACATATACATGTGCCTATGCATACGTTATACAGACAGTACCGGCATGGAGGGGGGGGCTAATCCGTCTGTTCCACTCGTTCCACTCACTCCGACCGTTCCACTCGTTCCACTCACTCCGACCGCTGCGCTCGTTCCACTCGCTCCGACCGCCCTGTACGTTACCTGCTCCACTCGCTCCTTTCGTCTGCAGCTCGAGTGGCGCGAGTGGCTCGCGAGTGGCTCGCGAGTGGCACGAGTGGCACGAGTGACGCCAGTTGCGCGGACACGCGTGGGCGAGTGGCGCGGACAACTTTATTTTTGCCCGCCGCGCGGTCGCCATGTACATATAAATCTTGCATGTCTCATCTATTTATTGATCAGACATTAGACTCTTTATCATGAACTACGGAAATTCCTAAATTTGTGGGGGGTAGTGAACCGCATTGATCTCTGCAGGAGCAAATATATCCGAAACCTTGATTCTACAGGGGCTTTTTCTGGATTCTATAATTAGCAGATCTTTGTGGGTGCCAAGTTGCTGGTCACAGTACGGTTTTTTGTAGTTGAAAAAATCTTTAAGCGAATTTCAAGTCTTCAGGGTGGTAGTGTCGGGGCCTTGCTGATTAGAATAGGGTTTTGAGGGATATCTTACGATAATTAGAACAAAGAACCCCCCAAAATAGTGTAGGCAACTATTCCGGCCCCTATATTAACTGAGATCGAAAGGTGCCGCCTGCCTGCAGGCTGACACGCGTACTGCCTGCGGCCAACCTCCCGCGCAAGAGATTCGAGATCTTCGGGTAGAGGGGTTCCGGATTCTCGGATTCGCGTGCTTAAGGCGTCGGGCTTCGAGTGTACAGATGATGTTCCTGACTATAACCCCAAGGGTCCAAGTACCTAATAATCATATACTCTCCCAAATGGTAACCTACATAAGTACTATCCGAAACCTAAGTACGTGATTATTGGGCCCTTTGGACCCATGGGTAAGGGACTTTGTGTGATTATCTTGGGAAGCTCTTGTGCCGCGATCACACTGCCCAAACCTCGACACTTCACGTGCTGTTGGCACATGGAACTAGTGTGACGATTGGGAGTCAGCATTGACACTCGGAGCGGGAGCGGTGATGCCACGTGAGCTCTTCGAAGGTCCTGACAAATACCAGAAACCCTAAACCCTAAACCTTGAACCCTAAACCCTAAACCCTAAACCTTAAACCCTAAACCCTAAACCCTAAACCCTGACCCCTAAACCCTAAACCCTAAACCAGAAACAAAAGCAGGTCATGCTGTTGTCTCGAAAATCACAAAGTAGTGTGGACAAGAAACACACAGTCGGACATGAATGCCCGATACCGAAGGAGACTCGCGTAACCCTTGTACGTAAAGCTACATTCGGAAGCTGTAAGCGGTCAACCGGATTTTTGCCATGGGGGCCGTTTATATATATATATAGAGAGAGAGAGAGATGTATGTATATATAAGTAGGCTACAAGCAAGGTGGCGCATGTTCTATGGCGACTTGTAAACCCCTTGAACCCCAGAAGGAAACACCATGAAAGCTCTTGAAACTTAAAGCCCTACACCTAAACCCTAAACCCTAAACCCTAAACCCTAAACCCTAAACCCTAAACCCTAAACCCTAAACCCTAAACCCTAAACCCTAAACCCTAAACCCTAAACCCTAACCCTTCACGACCTTCATCTCCCAACTCGCCAGCCCACAGACGGCATTTTTGTTCGTCTTCCAGACATCCCCTGTACACTGCACACCTAGGGTTTAGGGTTTAGGGTTTAGGGTTCAGGGTTTAGGGTTTAGGGTTTAGGGTTTAGCTTCAAGGACCCAGAGAGCCCAATACCCCTTAATTAAGCAATATACCTTAAATTAGAGGGGCCTTCATATTATGATTTAAGGTATATTCCTTAATTAAGGGGTATTGGGTCCTCTGAGTTTTTCGTCTTTCAGACCTCCCCTGTACACTGCACAGTCGTGCGGCATCCTATGCATGACTACGCCAATGCGCGGAACACGCACATCGAGATTAGACTAGACCGCTGGCATTAACCATTAACTAGAATCTCTCGCGCAAGACTCAAGCAATTGCTCCGCATCCTGGTAGACGGCCTTGAGGAATGGGGAGCCCATGACGCACCGATTCTCATCTATGTACATCGTGGTTCTCTCAACCTCCCAGCCGTCAGGCGTTGTTATCTTCTCCAGGATCTCCTTCATCTTCGTGCCTTCACGGCTGAGATCTCCCGGCGCCCCGCGGCAAGTGTAAGTGTGCAGCAGGCCTGGCACTTCCTCCCATTTTGTGAGACCTTTGGAAGCTAGGTGCCTGAAGCAGGGATATTCGAGGAACTCTCGCATGGACACCACGAAGTCCAGGTCCGTGCCTTACTTCCCCAATAAGCCAGGGAAATAAATGGTTAAACTTTCAGGCTACTATGAAATTATAAGGACCCAAAAAATCATAAAGGTTGGGTATTGCCATGGGTTATAGGGACTACTATAAGGGACCTTAACGGACTATCATAGGGATCCATTCCCCCACTTCCTACTAAGCACCAGACAGATTGGGGAACTAAGGTGCTAACGTAACCAAGGCAAACCTCTCCCCTAAACCCTAAACCCTAAACCCTAAAGTAGGTTTTGGGGTTCTTAAGGTAAGGAAACCCTAAAAGGTAGGTTTTGGGGTTCTTATAAGGTAAGGTGCTAACGTAACCAAGGCAAACCTCTCCTCCGCCGTCCCCTCCGGGGAGGTCAAAGCTGCCACTCAGACGGAAGATCGCCAGAGGAACTTTTGGCTTCGGACGATGAAAGCCTTAGGGGCTGAGTACCCTAGCCCAAAAAAGGGGTTTAGGGTTTAGGGTTTAGGGTTATAGTAGGATTATTATAGGCCCCAAAAGGATAAAGGTTACGTACTCAGCCACTAAGAAGCAGAAGGGCAACCAGCGGCCATCTGCCGGTGATTTCTCAGAGGTCTTGGAAACCTCCCAGCCACTAAGGCCCATGGCCATGAGAGCTGGCGACTCCTCCCCTACTACCTTCAAACCGCCAGCGAAAAGCTCGGGCAGCTTTTGAGACATCGTCCGTGGAAGCGCAAGCCTGCGCCTGGTCAACTCCAAGCTTTCGTTTCCATTCCTGGGAGTTGAAGTAACCAGGGAGGAAAAAGTATAGACTTTTTTGTTTATAGCGGTTCCTTTAAGGAACAGGCCCACCAAAAAAGTATCAAAGTATGGTACTCCAAAGCCCAGATTCATGGCCCGGAAACTCTCTGACAGGCTCCGGACTATGAGCCGAGGCTTGGACTCCGGCTCCGAGTCAGAATCCGGTTTCTGTGGCTCCGCGGTGCCAGAATCCGATTTCTGTGGCTCCGTGGTTGGCATACTTGTGTAAATCTCAACTTCCCCTTCGAAGGACCAGTACGATATCTTCTGGCTCTTCATGTCGCTCCTGGCCCAAAGGAAGCAGTTGCAAAGATCAGCATCCCGCTCAAGGAGCTTTTCCAGGGTGACCGTCTCTAGCTGCTCCAGGATCCAGAAGCCTTCGCCTGCTTGGAGGCATTGGGGCCACAACCTCTTGAGACTCCTGCAGCTGCGCAAGGCCTTCAAAGCTGCAGGGCCGCTGAGCGTTTGGAGAATGCGTGGCAGCCACACGGATCCGAAAGTCTCCATTGCCCACGCAAGACGGAAGCTGCGGAAAGCCAACCAGCTTTGAGCCGTAGCCATTTAGGGTTTGGGGCTTTACCCAGAGAGCCCAATACCCCTTAATTACCAGAAATCATAAAATGCAGTTCCTTATAGTTTAAGGTATACTTCGTAATTAAGGGGTATTGGGTGCTCTGGGTGCCCAACACCCTAAAATCCTGGAAACCGTAAACTTTCCCCTGCTGAGGTCAGCGCGAATCACCAAGGCGAAAGTCTCGAAAGTCGAGACCTTTTGGCAAGTTGCTTGCTCCCTTTTGGGGGGTTTAGGCGTTGGGCTTTTGGGCTTTAGGGCTTTAGAGGTTGAGGCTTTGGGCTTTTGGGCTTTTGGGCTTTTGGGCTTTTGGGCTTTAGGGGTTTAGGGTTTGGGCTTTTGGGCTTGGGGTGTTTGGGGGCTTGGGGTTTCTGGTTCTGGGGTTTTTCCATCATGCAGGTCAGAATTGCTTAGGGGCTTTTTGGCTAAGGATTATAAAGATGCCTTCTACAGGGTTGTCTTGGGAGTCTGCGCAGTTCCATACGTATGGGGTTTCGCGTATAGCGCAGGGCTTAGGGCTGTACTGGGCCGGTGCAGGGCATAGCATTTCAGCGTTTCAGGCTTGAGAGGCTCGCTTCGGGTTGCCTGCTTGGGTTTAGGGTTTAGGGTTGCCTGCCTGAGTATGAGATCAAACCCTAAACCTTTCAGGGTTCAACTCCCTTGCCCTAACTATGCTTCCAGGGACCTGATTATTGGGTCCTTAAGGGGTCCAGGGCCCTAACTATAAGGTCCTTGGAAGCATATAGGGTGAATACTATTTGGGGATTCTTCCGCTAATGCAGATCTACTTTTCAACGAGTCTTTAGAGCCCTAAACCCTAAACATTAACCATTTTGAAGGAGCCTTTCAGTTCGTATGGTTCAGGCTCCAAGCCGTGCTTTGGGGATCGAGGCGTTGCTATAGCGAGGTTGAGAGCATTACAGTGTCTTAGAAACCCAAGACCAAAGAACTCGATAATGCACCCTAAACTCGCCGTACAGTACCAGAAACAACTCTGTAATAGACCTTAAACTCCACAGAGAACCAGGGCTTTGTAGAACCCCCATACACACGCAGACCCCGTGTCGGCTCAGACGAAGGCAGTCGCAGAAATGCCCGGCAACGAGCTCCAGAGCCTTCGCTCTGCACTGGCTTCAATTCACTGTCTGGGATTCTACGGTTAGGGCGTAGGGCTTAGACTTTCCAGTTTAGGGCTCTGACAGTGTACGGTTTTGGTACGGTTTAGGGGGTAGGCTTGCAAAGCTTAGGGCTTAAGGTTGAGAGCTTCGGGTCTGAACTTGACTGCTGAGGTCTTACCATAGAAATAGAACATGGTTCTGGTGTCCATAGCATGTTGTGTGCAGCAAGGGTATAACGGGAACCCTAAACCCTAAACCCTGAACCCCTAAACCCTAAACCCCTAAACCCTAAACCCTAAACCGTGCATCTTCCCAATTGCTGGGCCTGGTCGACGTCATCGCTCACGTCCTTGCCGTCGGAAAGCCGGACTACCTGACAGGGTTTAGGGTTTAGGGTTTAGGGTTTGGGGTTTAGGGTTTAGGGTTTACGGTTGACCAAACAACATGTATACAAGGGCATCTATGTCCTTCTGTCATGCACAGGAGGGAAGTAAAGGCCCCTTGTCCTTCCCATATAGTCATATGATGACCCTAAACCCTATACCCTAAACCGTGAGTCATATAGTATAACCGTTTCTGAGTCTGGTCTTTCCCAAATAGTCATATAATGACCCTAAACCCTAAACCCTAAAATCTAGTATAGACCGTTTTTGAGTCGAACTATGCGAAGGTTTAGTTGGTGCATCAGGCTCTCCTGGCTACGTGATGGGCTTCGAGCGATGGCTCAGGGTTTCGGGCTGATGGCACCTTGAACTAACAGGGAATCCCTAATGCCCCCACCTTCGGAGCACTGTTTAGGGTTTAGGGTTTAGAGTTTAGGGTTTAGGCTTTAGGGTTTAGGGTTAGTATTCGATAAGGGACACCGTCTTTACATCCTGTGATAGTTCGGGACGTCACCGAAGAAGCAGAACACTACGTTCTACTCTTCGATGAAATTTCGATCCGTTTCTGGTTCACCATCGTTACGGTTGGGGCCGAGGAGAACGTAGAGGCCTCAACTGAACTGTGGAACTTTGTACCCTGCTGCATTGTAGGTGAAATCGAACCTCCAACCCTCAAACTAAAGCCCTGAACCCTAGACCCTAAACCCTAAACTCTGAACCCTGAACCCCCAACCCTAAACGCTGAGCCCTAGACCCTAAACCCTAAACCCTGAACGCTGGACCCTGGACCCTGGACCTAAAAGCCCAACACCTGAACCGTAATCCCCTGTAGAACCCGTAAAGGATCCCTCAGAGGATCCCCTGAAGGAACGCCCAGGGTTTAGGGTTTAGGGTTTAGGACTTTAGGGTTCAGGGTTCAGGGTTTAGGGTTCAGGGTTTCGGGTTTAGGGTTCAGGGTTTAAGGTTTAAGGGTTTGGGCTTAAGGTTCAGGGTTTAGGGTTTGGGTTGGCTGGGTTTAATTACTCCCTCGCTCAACCCGGCAATACAGACAGCGGCAGCTCGGAGGAACTTACACCCTAAACCCTAAACCCCCAAATCCTAAACCCTAAACCCTAAACCCCTAAATCTTAAGCCCTGAACCCTAAAGTTCAATCAAAACCTTGACAAGCGAACCACGAGCCTTAAACCCTTAAACCCAATCCCTAAACCCCAAAGCCGAAACCCCTGCACCATCAACACTTCAGGCAAAATTTGCCGACTGCTCGTATTTAGCATGAAGTAGCAATGTTGTTACCGTTGCTACTGTCCCACAATGTTTATGCTAGCGCGTATTTGTTTTCTATCTACCCGATCCTACTGTCATGTTCAGTCAGTATCCGCAAATAATGACTATTGAACCCTCAACCTTTATCCTGAAAACTAGATCCCTAAATCCTGAAACCCCTAAACCATAAACCCTACCCCTGAATCCCTCATCCAAACCGGAACACCCTCACTAAATCCTGCTATAGACTCAAACCACGCAGACGAGGACCTGCTCCAGCAATGGCAGAGCTTGCCGCGAGCGCAGTTCCTGTCGGAACTGCGTCAAAAACTGCACTTTAGGGCAGTTCGATAAGGTGTTGATGAGTTTAGGGGTGGCATAGAGGCTTTGGGTTTTGCTGTAGGGGGTTTGGGGCTTGAGGATTTAGGGGCTTGGGGTTTATGTGGAGCTGCTTGAGGTTTAGGGCTGTTGGGTTCTTATAGGGTCGGGATTACACGGTCTAGGAAGCAGGGTTTGGGGCTGTAGGGGTTGGGGGTTTTTAGGGCATAGACTGACAGAGGGACCCAGTTCCGGATTACGTCCCGTTGAAAAGGAGTAGAGTATACTCGCCACACTTTACAAACAACAATCTAGAGGTCTGAAAACTCAGTACTTCTGTCGCATCATAGTCCCTCTCAAAGCTCGACCCCCAACAGTAAGTAAAAGAATGGCCCAAGACCCATAAAGGGCTATGACGGCTATGATTTTACATACAGGTAAGCATACTTCAATACACCCCCAGCCCTTCTATAGCTAATGAGGTTCCTATAATGTGTACGCCGTATGACAAGCTTTTGGGGCCGGCAGCTTGGCTGGGTAGGGACTTAAGAAAGATCCCTGAATTATTATGAAAGCCCCCTGTGTTAATCAGGGCGATGATATGGGTCCTAATCTAAACCCTAAATCCCGTATCCCTAGACCGTACCATTCAGGCCTTTACCCAAAAGGGGACTCTTCAACAACGGTCTGCGCCAAGTCTTCGGGGAGCCTTACTCTGTGACCATATGGGAACAAAAGGAGAGACCATCTGCAAGGGTAGGTTAGGGTTTAGGGTTTTAGGGTATAGGGTGAGTCGTATGAGCCTTGTGATATGGATGAGGACCCTGAATCGGAGAGCCTCGAATTTCAGGACCCTACCATAGAGTCATAGCTTTCGGCCCTGAATCCTTAACGGTCCAAGTACCTAATAATCATGTACTCTTCTGAATACCAACCTACAAAACTACTATCCGTAACCCAAGTACATGATTATCAGGTCCTTTGAACCCTTAGGGTATAACCTTACTTTCTAAGTTCCCAGAGCCGCTAAGTAAGACCTGTTTGGAGTCGGCGCGTCGCGTCTTTCTCGGCAAGTGTCGCGTCTCATCTAGAAGCGATCATGAAGGATTTCTGAAGTTTCGGGTCTGACACTTAGTCTAGCGGTCACCCCTCCAATTCTCTCAAGCCCTTTCACATACTTTTGCCGGCATCGTTCTTGCTGCTTGTGGGCGAACAGAACGAAAATTTTGATGAGCGTGAATGTGTGAAGAGAATGGAAACCCAGGACGTAGATCCCTAAACCCTAAACCCTTAACCCATTTAGGGCCTGGGATCCGGGGCTTCCGTGTTTAGGGTTGCGCGTTCATGGCTTAGGGTCTGCAGGTCCACTCTCCAAAGGCATGATGTCATTAGGATTTTGGGGTGATTGTATGGAGCTATATGGGTAGTTCTCTAAATTAGTGTCCCTTTTGGGGTCCCCAATATAGTACGGCACCCTTATAAAAGGACCCTAAAAGGGCCCCTAATTTAGAGAACTACCCATATAGGGTTTAGGGTTTAGGGTTTAGGGTTGCGTGAACCAGTGACACCTTGAACCCTTCGGCAGAAACAACCCCTTTACGTCCAATCTCAGAAATCGCAGTTCAGCCTTTGCTGAGGACAAGTGCAGCTTGCAGCACGCTGCCATAGAGTTTAGAGTCTTTGATTTAGGATCTGCTGCACCAGTTTACATCTTTCTGTTGCATCATCTAGGGATACATCAATCACGGAAAGCATCAGCAACGACATAGGCCAGCTTGCTGTTGCAAAGGACAGGGCCAAACCCCCGAGCCTTTAATGTAGGGGCCTTATGTGAGTGATAGTAGGGTTTTGGGGCGCAGTATACTATAACTATAATAACGAGCACCCACAATAATGTAGGTAAGGTAAGGTAATTATTTAGGCCCCTATATTAAACTCATGCCCGTTATCAACATGCCCAGTGCCCACCTACAGTCCATGCCCTTATCCTGCCGCTTCCGCGCAGTGCAACGGGTTTCTATAGTACCTGCGGTCCAGTTCTGCTGGGGGTAAACCCTAAACCCTAAACCCTAAACCCTAAACCCTAAACCCTAAACCCTAAACCCTAAACCCTAAACCCTAAACCCTACTAGTGTAGCTGCTTCTTCTGCGCACGAAGACCTTGCAACGGCTTAGCACTGGCAGTGTTCAGGGCTTGTCGTCAAGAATCTTCTGGATACTGTTGTTGCGGCAGATGTTTAAGCTTCTGGCCGTTGCCGCAACAGCCTCCATCCTGCCCGGTGCCGCGTGCATGTGTGTAAGTAGCTACCACCGCCGTTTAGAGGACTCTAGAAGACCCTAAACCCTAAAACCTCCACTAGTTGAAGGCTGGCAGCCTCTTCCCTCCCGTCCTTGCCGCGGAAAATTTGCATGGGCACATAGGCGTTCTTCAATGTACGAAGACTGACCGTACGTCCCACATCGCGATGACATAAACTAAGCCGTGCTTTCCGTTAGGACATAGCCTTCAGGCTTCGGTTTCCCACCGATGACAACGAGGTTTTTAGAACACTCCTCACGTGCCCAAAGCAAGGTGAAAGACACTGGACGGATTCATGGCAGCAAGACGCAGAGGCTCCATGGAAGACCATCGAATCCGCAAAACCGTCTAACTATCACCAACCGTTTGCAAGAACAAGTATGTTTCGAAGAACGACTGCGCACACTAAACCCTAAACCCTAAACCCTAAACCTTAACCGTGTCATATGATCATATGGACCCTCCAGAGGGAGAGTGCAGCTGCCTCAGCTTCGCGGCTACTTCGGGATTCTTGATTCAAGGACCTATGCTATGTGGCGGTGTAGGGTTTAGGGTTTAGGGTTTAGGGTTTAGGGTCTAGGATACCGTTGTCTGAGATTCTGCACCCTATAAACCCCTGAACCCTAAACCCTGTAAACCCTATAAGCCCTTAACCTGCTCTTATATGGGGGGGTTGATAACTGAAGTAGTAGTACCCAGAGAACCCAATACCCCATTCTTAAGGAATATATATATATATATACCTTGAATCGTAAAATTCAGGCCCCAATTTATTTTTTGAGGTATATGCCTCAATGAAGGTGTATATTGGATTCTTTCGCCGAGGGTCCAAAGGACCCAATAATCAGGTACTTAGGTTTCGGATAGTAGTAGTAATGTAGGTTACTATTTGGGAGAGTATCAGATTATTAGGTACTTGGACCCTTAGGGTTCTTGTGTCCAAGCCCTAGGTTTCAGGCCTTTGGCTGAAGTGAGAGGACTTGCGACTCATGACCTACGGTTTAGGGTTTAGCGTTTAGGGGTTAGGGGTTTAGCTTTATAGGGTTCCTTTAAACGGCCCCTTAACGGGTTCTACAACACTAAAGCCTTGTAGGAACCCTTATAGTAACCGTTTTAGTAACCCTTTAAAGGGAACCTTATTCTAATTACTAAGGCCCCAAACCCTAAACCCTAAACCCTAAACCCTTAAACCCCTAAACCCCTAAACCCCTAAACCTCAAACCCTGAACCC